GGTGAACAACGGATATAGCAACATGGAAATAAACACTGCAATAAGAAGACACTTGGACCGATGGTACAATCCTGAACCTAGAACAGAAACCACAACACCTGCAATAAAATTATATCACAAATGAACTATGCACAGTGAACATAAAAAAAGAAAGAATAATGAAAGAAATAATTTGTAAAGAAGTAAAAAGCACTATTCCTAACCAATGTGCTTCCTTCCCTATTATTCCTTATTTATCCCTTATTTATCCATTTGCCTTTTCTTTTATTCTACTTATTTTCTCACCTGACCTCGCACTGGTATAAATCTAACGAGATCTGTAATTTCTTATCACTTGAGAATGAACCATGTAGGCTCGAAACGTTGTGCAACTGTATAATTAGTTTAATACATTCTTTAGTAATTCCCTTTTTTTTCTTCACCTTGAAAAACGAACATGAGTTTTGGAGAACTCCTCTTTCAACTAAACCCTGATGCAAGAATAATAGTTAGAGGGCTAGAAGCACTAAACCAGAAGATAGTAAGTACAGAATATGCGGTCATAATCAACGAGACATATATGTCGTACCTAGTAACCAGAATGCACTTCTTGGCCTACTATGCAAGGCCCGATTTGCCTAATAAGCCAAGTTTTCCTGAATTAATATATTTTCTCTAATTTTTTTCTTATGCAATGATAAAGCTACCCATTTCATTATGTATGAGGTCAATTTTTTTTTATTGGAGTTAAAATTAACGTAGATATATTACCTAACCTAACCAACCCTACCTAACCTAACCTATCTTGAGATGATAACCTATCTTGAGATGACCTAACCTATCTTTATAGGTTAGGTTAGGTTAGGTAGCCTAAAAAGTTAGGTTAGGTTAGGTTAGGTAGGTTAGGTAGTCGAAAAACAATTAATTCATGAAAACTTGGCTTATTAGGCAAATTGGGCCTTGGATAGTAGGCTGAGAAGTGCGTTCTGGCTACTAGGTACGACATATATATATATATATATATATATATATATATATATATATATATATATATATATATATATATATATATATATATATATATATATATATATATATATATATATATATATATATATATATATATATATATATATATGTTTGGTCCATATACAGTCCCCATCCTGTAGGCACTCACAGCCTCGTAGAAGAGAATAAAGAGTGTTTACAGAAGACCTTGTGGATTCTCACAGAACACTTTAATATTTACTTCTACCACCTGTATTTTTTATTTTATTTCAAACAATTTGATTTTTGCATTAATTTTATTGCATTGTGTTACAGTTTACAGAAAACACACATATAACATTCACTTTTCGAACACCTCATCCAGCTCTTCGGACGTCGGGTGAGTGCCCAAGATACAGCAAGCATTTCCTCTCTGGATCGCGACACTGAGGCGCAGGAACAGGAAACTGGCCGCTCTTGAGTCTCTAGTTTGCCAAATGAGTTCCTCACCCACCTCTTCTAGGAACTTCAGGGCATATTTACCCCAGGCACACAGGGTCTCAGAGTCTATTGGCACGAATCTGTAACACCATTCTAGGTCCCTGTACTTATTAGTTTAAAATAAACACTTACATATATAAGGGGGTGGTAGGAGAAGACAATATGGGCCAGCGCACGTGGGACCCCGACAAGGCTCTCCCGGATGCTGCATATCTTCTTTTTCGAGGCCTGAGGGTCCCTACTAACAACCAGAGGTGGTATCCCTGTACATATATATGCGAACAAGCTTAAACGGTCCCCAAGCCTATATGCAATCGAAATATTCTCACCCCTGAAGGATTCGAACCCAGACAATCAGGGCTCCATGCACCTAAGCGTATGCAGTACATAACCCATTAGATCACACTGACTGTTCAAAAGGATTGGAAGTCGTCAACCCCTAACCCATCCCCCGACAGCACTCGGTGGTCAATTGTGTGGACATATTTCATCGAATCACCTCGCATGTGATTCGATGCACTAAGGGGACATATTCATGTAAATTAAAAGTGGTTCAATTTGCTTATAAAATTATTTATGAAATGGTTATTGAAAGGGCTGCAACTGGTCCAAGTTTAACCATCACACCCTAAACAGAAAAGGAGAAAACAAATACACAACGTATTATGCAACGAATTTTCAACATTTTCAAATAGTTTCAGGGAACACATGTGTCAACTAAAATCATTTCTATAACACTCAGATATTAAATTTAGCACATAATAAAGGATTGTTGTGATCGGTTTTATCAAAAAAGTGTTTAGTGCAATAATATAATTATTCAAAGTTACCCTTCCAAAAATATGCAATATATGATGTTTATAAATTTTTATAAAATCAACAAATGGACTTTGGACTACAGTGTCTACTAAATGCTGTAGGAGCACAAACTCTACATATAAGGTGTAATTTGCATATACATTGATTAATAAATGAAAGCTCTGAAGTACTTTGAAGTTGTAAATTACTTTCCAGAGTAAAATAAAGATCCAAGTTCGGCCACCTGTAGCTGAGCTTGACTTCAACAGATTTCGTTCATAATTGGCACCCTTGCAGATAGGCACCCATTGAGCAAGGTGTGCAAGTTTCATGCAAATCCCTTGATAACAAAGGAAAAAACAATTGTCAAAAAAAAAAAAAAAAAAAAAAAAAAAAAAAAAAAATTACATATATATATATTGCACATACATATTACAATTATTACAAGAGTTTGTGCTTCTACAGCACATAGTAGACATTTTAGTTGACACATGTGTTCCCTGAGATTATTTGAGAATGTTGAACATTCGTTGCATAATACGTTGTGTATTTTTTTTCTCCTTTTCTGTTTAGGGTGTGATGGTGAAACTTGGACCAGTTGCAGCCCTTTCTATAACCATTTCATACATAAATTTATAAGCAAATTGAACCACTTTTAATTTACATGAATATGCCCCCTAAGGCGCATGGTGTCTTGGCTGACTGGGTTCGAATTCTTCATGGGTGAAGAGTTTTCGGTTGCATATTGGCTTGGGAACCATTGACTAAATTAAATTAATCAGTTTTGATGTATGCTTATTATTAACAAGGCTCCTGTTGATATTCCTGGTTACCATGCTCAAGAATTAATGAACCACGAATTACACCTGTCTTCTGATACCAATTAAAACTCGTAAAAATATGCAAAAATTAATTAAAATTTAGTTGTAACAATGAGCATTATCTGCAGAATTTTTCTGTGGCAAAAGAAAGTCAACAATCATCCCTTTCTTTCACCCCCTCCCAGACCGACCTCACACCACCTCCTTTCGTACCGACCTCACACACCACCTCATCCCGTCCCGACCTCACACACCACCTCCTTTCGTACCGACCTCCCACACCACCTCCTTTCGTACCGACCTCACACACCACCTTCTTTCGTACCGACCTCACACACCACCTCCTTTCGTACCGACCTCACACACCACCTCCTTTCGTACCGACCTCCCACACCACCTCCTTTCGTACCGACCTCACACACCACCTCCTTTCGTACCGACCTCACACACCACCTTCTTTCGTACCGACCTCCCACACCACCTCCTTTCGTACCGACCTCACACACCACCTCCTTTCGTACCGACCTCACACCACCTCCTTTCGTAACTACCTCACACCACCTCCTTTCGTACCTACCTCACACCACCTCCTTTCGTACCTACCTGACACACCACCTCCTTTCGTACCTACCTCACACACCACCTCCTTTCGTACCGACCTCACACATAACCTCCTTTCGTACCGACCTCACACACCACCTCCTTTCGTACCGACCTCACACACCACCTCCTTTCGTACCGACCTCACACACCACCTCATCCCGTCCCGACCTCACACAATTTCCTGTTTCAACACAACAGTTGATCTGAGCACCATTGTACCCACCGCCCCAGCTCCTGGTCTTAGAGTGTGTCGGTGGCATCCTGCTCTCCTCACTACTGTGTATTCTAAGCCTCGCAGCATCCCCGGTAAGTGGGCCTTTAAACGCATGTAAGGTTAATCTCTCGACGAGTCTAGGGATCTCTCGACGAGTCTAGGGATCTCTCGACGAGTCTAGGGATCTCTCGACGAGTCTAGGGATCTCTCGACGAGTCTAGGGATCTCTCGACGAGTCTAGGGATCTCTCGACGAGTCTAGGGATCTCTCGACGAGTCTAGGGATCTCTCGACGAGTCTAGGGATCTCTCGACGAGTCTAGGGATCTCTCGACGAGTCTAGGGATCTCTCGACGAGTCTAGGGATCTCTCGACGAGTCTAGGGATCTCTCGACGAGTCTAGGGATCTCTCGACGAGTCTAGGGATCTCTCGACGAGTCTAGGGATCTCTCGACGAGTCTAGGGATCTCTCGACGAGTCTAGGGATCTCTCGACGAGTCTAGGGATCTCCCAGCCTTTTCTAATCGACCAGGTGATTCTTCCAAGACCCCATCCAGCTCTTTAAGACACGTCTGGTCCCCTATTTTACTACCATGATAGTGGAATAGCATGCGATAGTCGCTACAGCTTCGACCTTACAGGCATGGGGTCAGCGGTTCGAGTTTCCTAGGGCCCAGGTGAATGCAATATCATGAAATAGTTTTATTAATTACAGTTCAATTCCTCCCCCAACGTCAAACTAATACATTTTAAATCATTGTAATTCTGATACATAATGAGAATTATGTAACGAATAGGCAACACAAAAATAGGCATAATGTGCTCGCATAATTACAAAATTGAAAGACTTTAGTGGATGTAAATAGAATTCCAGGAATACATGACATTACATGAAATTCATGAGAGTTACGCAATATCGCTGAACTGTGTATTAATACATATTTTAATGTAATGAAGAAGTGACAACATATATAAATTATATAGAAAGGGGATTTTATGGATATGGAAGCAGGAGAGCAAATTAAATAGACAACAACATTAATATAATTCTTGTAGTGACGGCATAACAGAGACTTCAAGGTGTACTTGGCTACAGTCTTTATGCTTGAGTGGTAGTTCCAGCCAGGGTGGGCGCTTGAGTGGTAGTTCCAGCCATGGTGAGTGCTTGAGTGGTAGTTCCAGCCATGGTGGGCGCTTGAGTGGTAGTTCCAGCCATGGTGGTCGCTAGAGTGGTAGTTCCAGCCATGGTGGTCGCTTGAGTGGTAGTTCCAGGCATGGTGGTCGCTTGATTGGTAGTTCCAGCCATGGTTGGTGCTTGAGTGGTAGTTCCAGCCATGGTGGTCGCTTGTGTGGTAGTTCCAGCCATGGTGGTCGCTTGAGGGGTAGTTCCAGCCATGGTGGTCGCTTGAGGGGTAGTTCCAGCCATGGTGGGCGCTTGAGTGGTAGTTCCAGCTATTGTGGGCGCTGGAGTGGTAGTTCCAGTCATGGTGGGCGCTTGAGTGGTAGTTCCAGCCATGGTTGTCGCTTCAGTGGTAATTCCAGCCATGGTTGTCGCTTGAGTGGTAGTTCCAGCCATGGTGGGCGCTTGAGTGGTAGTTCCAGCCGTGGTGGGCGCTTGAGTGGTAGTTCCAGCCGTGGTGGGGCGCTTGGAAGTCGATAGTGTTGTTGCCTATCAGTGACATCGGGGAAGTGAGGTCTAGCTCCTGGTGCCCGGCTTTGAACCTGTTCCATTGTCATTTAAATACTCTGACCTCCGAATTCTTCGTTAAATCTGGCCTTAAATTTGTGGATGGAGGTGGCTTCCACAACTTATTTTTTCAGTGTATTCCAATTGTTCATCACCCGTACAGGGTATGAGCATTTCTTCACATTACATCCATTCAGTTGTGTTTCCACTTTCCACCTAAGTCCTCTCATCTTAGTTTCTCTAAATTTAAAAACGCTGGTCTTATCCACTTTGTCAATTCCCCTCAGTATCTTGTATATTAATAATAATAATAATAATAATAATAATTTTTATTTAGGCAAAGGTACATACATAAAGAGATTTTACAAAGTTTGTTGGCTTTATAGATAGGAGCTAGTACATACAATGCCTAAAGCCACTATTACGCAAAGCGTTTCGGGCAGCTATTGTGATTATACCCCCTGTGTTTCTTCTCTCCTCAAGGAGTGTGAGGTATAGTTCCCCTAATCCATCACCTTAGCACATTCCTCTTGACTCTAGCACTAATCTTCTTGCAAATCTTTTGATTTTTACCCCCGACGCTGTGCGCGCGTGTTGCTTGAGGCGTAGTGTCTGCTACCTCTGTCTTGAAACCCAACATTCTTCACGTAATACATTTTGAATAAACCTGAATAAACTATTATTATTATCATTACTAGCTGTACCTGGCCACGCGTTGCTGAGCCACAGCGACCTTCCCCTGTCTCCCAGTCCTCCCCACCATTCCCCCATCCCTTTGTCCTCCCCACCATCCTTCACTCCCCCATCCCCTCGTCTTCCCTACCATCACCCCCTCCCCCGTCCTCTCGTCCTCCCCACCATCTCCACTTCCCTGTCCCCTTGTTGTGTCCACCATTCTCCATTCCCCAGTCCCCTCCTCCCCACCATCCCTATCCACCTCGTCCTCCCCATCCATTATCCCCTCACCTGTCCTTTCGTCCTCCCCACCATTTCCCACTCCCTCGTCCGATGCATTCCCAAATGATCTGATGTTTCCATGACGGAAATATTCGAAAAACAGTTAATTAAAACGAAATGAAAAACAATGAAAAAAAACAAAAAAACTATACGCACGAAATGAACAGTATGGTAAACAACACAGCTCAATTCCAACGCAGTGTCACACAAAATAATTAAATCCAAATGAAAATAAATCTAAATCTATGAAAATTCAATTTATCAATGCAATCGGAAACATTGAAATGGAATCGTGACAGCGTGTGTTGGTATTACATGCAACAGATGGCGCTGTTTCTCAAAAAACATGTTTTTACCTGTCATAGGTGTGGCATCTATATAGTAGGTATATAAAAACATTCGCCTAATCGAATTCAACGTTGTGTCAAGATTTCGTAACAATCGGTAAAGAGGTTTCGAAGATTTCCCTCACATGAAAAATACATGAAAAACACAGTTTAAAAAAAAAAAACGAGTTTTTCTCCCGTCACAGACGTGACATCTATATAGTATGTATATAAAAACCCGCTAATGCGAATGTAACGTTGTGTGAAAATTTCAAAGGAATCGGTGAAAAACTTTCGGAGATTAGCGATTTTGAACAAACGAACATTTAATTTTTTTTAAATAGATTATTATTATTATTATTATTATTATTATTATTATTATTATTATTATTATTATTATTATTATTATTATTGTTATTATTATTATTATTATTATTATTATTATTATTATTTTCACTTTCGTTTTATACATCAGAAGGTGCGGTTTCTAGGTCGGTGTTGCATATTTCAGTTTTGGTCTAACGAAGGTTGTGTAAACTGAACTGAAAGCACAGTTATGACACGAATATTTGAGGGAGTCTAATTTTTATTTTGAAACGGCGATCTAATGTTTATGAGCGTCCCATATGCTGCTGATGATACTCTGTTTATTGTTGCCTCTGGTGTTAAAGTTGAATTATATCCACTCCCAAATTTGTATCTTTTCAATTCCTCTAGTTACCGTGAAGATACCTTCTGGTCTCTTTTCTCTTTCCCCATCTTCATTACCTTGCACTTGTTCAAATTGAAATCTAGGAACCATTTGTTTGGTCACTCATGATGTTTGTTAATTTGTGGTATAAACGTGAAAAAAACAAGAGAGAAGAGAAAAAGTATAATTTAATAATCATGTTTGGTTACGAAATGAGAATAAGGAATTAATATATCGAGAAAATTTGTGGAAGGAAAAAAATACAATAAATTTCTGGATTAATTAGAATGTGAAGTTTGGAAATATTGGACCAATGGCCGCCGGGAAATTTAAAGAGAGGAAAAGAGGATAGTTGAGAAGATGAGGAATTGGTATGGTGAGTGTGTGAGGGAGTGATGAGTGTGTGAGGGAGTGATGAGTGTGTGAGGGAGTGGTGAGTGTGTGAGGGAGTGGTGAGTGTGTGAGGGAGTGATGAGTGTGTGAGGGAGTGGTGAGTGTGTGAGGGAGTGGTGAGTGTGTGAGGGAGTGGTGAGTGTGTGAGGGAGTGGTGAGTGTGTGAGTGGGGAGTGGTGAGTGTGTGAGGGAGTGGTGAGTGTGTGAGGGAGTGGTGAGTGTGTGAGGGAGTGGTGAGTGTGTGAGGGAGTGGTGAGTGTGTGAGGGAGTGGTGAGTGTGTGAGGGAGTGGTGAGTGTGTGAGGGAGTGGTGAGTGTGTGAGGGAGTGGTGAGTGTGTGAGGGAGTGGTGAGTGTGTGAGGGAGTGGTGAGTGTGTGAGGGAGTGGTGAGTGTGTGAGGGAGTGATGAGTGTGTGAGGGAGTGGTGAGTGTGTGAGGGAGTGGTGAGTGTGTGAGTGGTGAGTGTGTGAGGGAGTGGTGAGTGTGTGAGGGAGTGGTGAGTGTGTGAGGGAGTGGTGAGTGTGTGAGGGAGTGGTGAGTGTGTGATGGAGTGGTGAGTGTGTGAGGGAGTGGTGAGTGTGTGAAGGAGTGGTGAGTGTGTGAGGGAGTGGTGAGTGTGTGAGTGGTGAGTGTGTGAGGGAGTGGTGAGTGTGTGAGGGAGTGGTGAGTGTGTGAGGGAGTGGTGAGTGTGTGAGGGAGTGGTGAGTGTGTGAGGGAGTGGTGAGTGTGTGAGGGAGTGGTGAGTGTGTGAGGGAGTGGTGAGTGTGTGAGGGAGTGGTGAGTGTGTGAGGGAGTGGTGAGTGTGTGAGGGAGTGGTGAGTGTGTGAGGGAGTGGTGAGTGTGTGAGGGAGTGGTGAGTGTGTGAGGGAGTGGTGAGTGTGTGAGGGAGTGGTGAGTGTGTGAGGGAGTGGTGAGTGTGTGAGGGAGTGGTGAGTGTGTGAGGGAGTGGTGAGTGTGTGAGGGAGTGGTGAGTGTGTGAGGGAGTGGTGAGTGTGTGAGGGAGTGGTGAGTGTGTGAGGGAGTGGTGAGTGTGTGAGGGAGTGAGTGTGTGAGGGAGTGGTGAGTGTGTGAGGGAGTGGTGAGTGTGTGAGGGAGTGGTGAGTGTGTGAGGGAGTGGTGAGTGTGTGAGGGAGTGTGTGAGTGTGTGAGGGAGTGGTGAGTGTGTGAGGGAGTGGTGAGTGTGTGAGGGAGTGGTGAGTGTGTGAGGGAGTGGTGAGTGTGTGAGGGAGTGGTGAGTGTGTGAGGGAGTGGTGAGTGTGTGAGGGAGTGGTGAGTGTGTGAGGGAGTGGTGAGTGTGTGAGGGAGTGGTGAGTGTGTGAGGGAGTGGTGAGTGTGTGAGGGAGTGGTGAGTGTGTGAGGGTGGTGAGTGTGTGAGTGGTGAGTGTGTGAGGGAGTGGTGAGTGTGTGAGGGAGTGGTGAGTGTGTGAGGGAGTGGTGAGTGGTGAGTGTGAGTGTGTGAGGGAGTGGTGAGTGTGTGAGGGAGTGGTGAGTGTGTGAGGGAGTGGTGAGTGTGTGAGGGAGTGGTGAGTGTGTGAGGGAGTGAGTGTGTGAGAGGGAGTGGTGAGTGTGTGAGTGGTGAGTGTGTGAGGGAGTGGTGAGTGTGTGAGGGAGTGGTGAGTGTGTGAGGGAGTGGTGAGTGTGTGAGGGAGTGGTGAGTGTGTGAGGGAGTGGTGAGTGTGTGAGGGAGTGGTGAGTGTGTGAGGGAGTGGTGAGTGTGTGAGGGAGTGGTGAGTGTGTGAGGGAGTGGTGAGTGTGTGAGGGAGTGGTGAGTGTGTGAGGGAGTGGTGAGTGTGTGAGGGAGTGGTGAGTGTGTGAAGGAGTGGTGAGTGTGTGAGGGAGTGGTGAGTGTGTGAAGGAGTGGTGAGTGTGTGTGGGAGTGATGAGTGTGTGAGGGAGTGGTGAGTGTGTGAAGGAGTGGTGAGTGTGTGAGGGAGTGGTGAGTGTGTGTGGGAGTGATGAGTGTGTGAGGGAGTGGTGAGTGTGTGAGGGAGTGGTGAGTGTGTGAGGGAGTGGTGAGTGTGTGAGTGGTGAGTGTGTGAGGGAGTGGTGAGTGTGTGAGGGAGTGGTGAGTGTGTGAGTAGTGAGTGTGTGAGGGAGTGGTGAGTGTGTGAGGGAGTGGTGAGTGTGTGAGGGAGTGGTGAGTGTGTGAAGGAGTGGTGAGTGTGTGAGGGAGTGGTGAGTGTGTGAGGGAGTGGTGAGTGTGTGAGCGGTGAGTGTGTGAGGGAGTGGTGAGTGTGTGAGGGAGTGGTGAGTGTGTGAGGGAGTGGTGAGTGTGTGAAGGAGTGGTGAGTGTGTGAGGGAGTGGTGAGTGTGTGAGGGAGTGGTGAGTGTGTGAGGGAGTGATGAGTGTGTGAGGGAGTGGTGAGTGTGTGAAGGAGTGATGAGTGTGTGAGGGAGTGGTGAGTGTGTGAAGGAGTGGTGAGTGTGTGAGGGAGTGGTGAGTGTGTGAAGGAGTGATGAGTGTGTGAGGGAGTGGTGAGTGTGTGAGGGAGTGGTGAGTGTGTGAGTGGTGAGTGTGTGAGA